ACACAAGTCAGGCACAAGCATCCCGACAGCAATGAGGAAACGGGACCAAAAATGGAGATAAAATACTCATGCGCCGTAAAGCTCGAAGCCCAGCAGGAAGAAGAGAAGATTCACACAAAGACTTTGCTTCCGCAAATGAGGAGAATGCTGCCCAGGCACAGTGCACTGTGTGCCCAAAATGACACGTACACATCCGTTCATAAATACAATACCGTCGCCGATTCCATGATGGCAAAGAGGTCAGGCCGCCGAGAAGGCGCAACTCACCCGGCGACGACACCCCGATGGGATCGACACCGGCCGAATTTCGCTGTCCAGCATGCGGCTTTTGGCGCCACAGCGGTGACGGACTGGCCCACCGCCGCACAGCACGCCACGGGGGTCGACCTGACATTGTGAGGACCGGCCCGCATGAACAGCGCGAGGAGACAATTCTGCATCTACTCCGATGCCCGGCTCTGCGGGCGCCTGGGATAAAAATGGACTGGACACTGAAGAGGCGAGGAAGCCGCGCTTCAAGAAAAAGTTGGCGCGGTTTTTCCTTGAAGTGGAACGGCTCCGCCGCCAACAGCGCCTCCACGCGGCGAGGAGGCGCGACGCCCCTCACGGATGCGGCGTGAAATCGATGCTCCTGGAAGGCGCCTTTTTTTGTTCTCCTTGTTGACGGATGAATTGGCCCAATGATTTGCTGATTTGTTATTTTACTGATTTTTGGCAACGGCGGATCATCGAGCCACCGCGCCGGCCGGGGCGGCTGCGTAACGTGTGCGTTTCGCGCCCTCCGCTGCGGCTTCCTTTCCGGGGGTGGTGATTCTTCTTCGCACTTCCACTCAGCAGGGCGGAGGTGCTCTGCGATGGTGGGTGCTGTGCGGGTGTTCGAGTTCTTTTGAGAACACGTAGTGAACAGCTACTGAAGAGGGAATTGGTTAGTGTGGAAAGTATATGAGTGATAAATGATCAAATATTTGTTTGAAAGGTTTTTCAAAACGCTTTGAATTTATGAATAAAGATTGATGGTACGTCTTTTTGAGTTGTTACGCGCAGATTTTTTACTAGGATTTTTTATGGGGTGGGCGTGTAAGCAATATTGTAACAGCCGTGGAACGACGTGTTGAGGGTCTTACGGGCTACCGATTTTGCTTTGTGACTTATCTATATTTTTTATTTTATGCTCCGCATAGTTGTGTTGGATTTTTTATTGTTTTATTTATTATTATTATTATTATTATTATTATTATTATTATTATTATTATTATTATTATTATTATTATTATTATTATTATTATTATTTTTTTTTGGGGGGGGAGAGAGTTTTTGAAATGTTTTTTTGTTTTTTGTCTTCAATAAGTATTTTTATGGATTGTTTGTCTTTTTCCGTAAAACAGTCTGGAATTGTTTTGCGCCATTTTAAATGTTCGAACCTCCATCAACACTGTTTTATGTCCTCATGTGTGCTCCATAAACAAATATCCATTTTCTTGAAACATTGATTCTTTGAGACTGAGAAAATTTGCGTAAAGTACTGGAGAAAAAATCTGCCTTTGCGTTCTGATCTTTTTTTATTGCATCATTATTTACCATTTTTGCGAAAGACAAGAGGGGAAAATGAGCTCACATATTGCCCTTTTATTTATTTTCTTTTATCCTACCTTCTTCTTTGCCATCCACGACGCAGAAGAGCTAACCACAGGCGATAGCGAAAAGGAACAGAGTCTCCATTTACCTCCTCACCACAAGCTACGGGAAAGGAAGAGGGTAATGCCGTCGAAAGGGTCCGCTGCGAATACCGCCACGGGAAGCCAGTTGGAGGTATTTGACTCAAATTTCAAGTGTCTGTACACGGTGCCGTCCCATTTGGTGGTCCACACACCCCCGGCACGTTTTAATATTTCCCGATTTGTTATTTGCCGGAACTACAGGTGCGGTGAGGCGGACTCATGTACTATGGGCGAAAACTGCAAGTTTGTACATGCGGACGTGGACTATTCAACGCTGGAGGGGCAACCCATTCATGTGAACTACATTTGGCGTGATGAGAAGCTTTGCATTTATGAGCGGCTGCCTCCCGGGGATGTTTTGGAAGTGTTGCTGCCGAATTGCAAGCATCCTGCAGTGATGATCTCAAGTGAGTATGTCCTTGCGACACGGGGTGCGCGTTCATTTTCGAAAGGGAGACCACAAACACTTTCGCATTGTGCACATTACTACTTCAATTACCTGTGCAGCCGCGGCGAAGACTGCAGTTTCATTCATGCGATTTATGTTGACCCAACTATATCTGAGGTTTGCAAGCGTGCAGCGGGTCGTTCGCACCGCCAGCGTGTACCAGGTGCTGTGAGGTCGCCTGTTGAGAGGGCCGATAGCGACAGTCAACTCCAGTGTTCTCGTCAACGTAAAAAGTGTGGTGTGCCGCCAGAGATTCCAGTGACAAGTGATGCTAGGAACTGCCGTGGCGACGGGGTGATGGCGCCTACTGTTAATGCTGAGGGCCTGAATTCGTGGGCGGGGCTGAACGGCCCTTCAGAAGCAAGCAGCGAGGGACCACGGCACAGCTCATCAGGCGAGGAGGGAACGCTGGGGCCATTGGTTGGGTTGAAGTGCCGCGAACCGAATGGTGTACAAATGATTGGTTCTGCCTGTGGGCGGGCTGCTATGAGGCGTGCTCGTGTTTACCGACACGATCCTTATGGCATTTTCTAGTTTGTTTGTTTTTTGTGTGTTTGCCTGACATTTTTTTTTTCTCTTTTTATTACTTTTAAATATTTTTTTTCTATTTTTCTCTCAGTGTATTGTATTGGGTTTTCTTTTCTTTGTTTAACGTTAATTGTTGAGCGAACGGATTTTACTGATAGTGGTGCCAGCTTTTTTTTTTTTTTTTTGTGGGGGATAAGGGGAGTTCTTCTGGCTGTACTTATTGCTGCCGTGATGGGTCACGGGCTAGCGGTAATCTTGCGGTATCTTGGGTTGTGTGTCTATGCATCTTGTCTGCATTTTAACTCGATTGTACGCTTCTATTGTGACTGTGCCTTGAGGCCTCACGCAGTGCCCCATCGTTTTTTTTTTTTTGTTGTTGTTGTCTTTTTTTTTATTTTCTATTTTTGTGTGAATATTTATTTTGTCTGTTTGATAACTTGTTGTAAGGGGCTTTTAGTTTTTATAACTGAAGACCACCTCTTTTTTGACTCTTGTTTTTGTTCTGCGCTTTTTGTTGTCAAGTTCTTTTTATTTTTATTATTTATTTATTTATTTATTTGTTTTTCATTTGTTTGTTCTGCTGTGAAGCCAGTAAGAGGATTTTTGGTTTATCTTTGTGTTTTTGCGTGCGTGCGTCTTTGTGATGCGGTTCGCTGCATCTCCTCCATCTTTTTTTTTGTTCTGTTTTTTGTGCTTCCCTACGCATGCCGGTGGTTTGGCGGAATGTACTTTTAATGGGCGCGGCGGTGCGTCTCTGCGCGTGCGTGCCCCTTTCTTTTTTATATGTGTGAGCCGCGTTGTTCATGGCAGCCCCCATTACTGGTACTAATCGTATATTATATATATATATATATATATATATATATAATCTAATGTTATCGTCTGGGCGTGGGAGTACATTTGTCAAGGGGGGATGCCTGAGAGGTGGATGGCTCGGCTGCCAAGAATTGAGCTGCGCAGTTCACCTTCTGCACGCAGAGGGGATCTTCACCGCGACTACTGCATTATATTTTTGACATCTTTCTGTTTGAAGTGTTTTGACTTTTTGCGATCGAGGCGTGGCGGGGCGGGGAGAAGGTGGCACGCGCGATTGTGCTTTATTCCTCACGGATGCCGCGGCCTTCTGCGAAAGACAAGAGGGGAAAATGAGCTCACATATTGCCTTTTTATTTATTTTCTTTTATCCTACCTTCTTCTTTGCCATCCACGACGCAGAAGAGCTAACCACAGGCGATAGCGAAAAGGAACAGAGTCTCCATTTACCTCCTCACCACAAGCTACGGGAAAGGAAGAGGGTAATGCCGTCGAAAGGGTCCGCTGCAAATACCGCCACGGGAAGCCAGTTGGAGGTATTTGACTCAAATTTCAAGTGTCTGTACACGGTGCCGTCCCATTTGGTGGTCCACACACCCCCGGCACGTTTTAATATTTCCCGACTTGTTATTTGCCGGAACTACAGGTGCGGTGAGGCGGACTCATGTCCAAAGGGAGAAGGCTGCCGTTTTGTACATGCGGACGTGGACTATTCAACGCTGGAGGGGCAACCCATTCATGTGAACTACATTTGGCGTGATGAGAAGCTTTGCATTTATGAGCGGCTGCCTCCCGGGGATGTTCTTGAGGTGGTATCCCGGAGCGGGAGTGAGAAACCGGATTTGATCCCCAGTGAACGTATTCTTGTGACTAGACGCGCTTTGTCATATCGAGAAGACAATTCACGACGGCTTTCTCATTGTGTTCACTATTACTGCAACAGGATGTGCAATCGTGGCGAAAATTGTAATTTTATTCATGCAGTGTATGTGGACCCGAATGTTGAGGGCGATTTTAAACGTCCCCCTGCACAGTCGATGTCTCAGTTCAACTCATCTACTCGTTCTTCACAAACAGATGCTTCTGACTCTCCCTTGGAATGGAAAAGCCAAATGAATTCGAGTTTACGCTCGTATGGTCGTCTCCCGTCGAATAAGCATTTCGGTTCTCAGGTGTTTCCTAAAACACAATCGGCGGACTCCTTGCCCTTAAACGTGGCGCCGCAAGACCTGGGCCCCTTCTGTATGGCTGCGTCTCAGTCAGCCAATGAAGCTGTAACATCTGTACCGCTCAACGGTTCCAATATGAGCTTTAATAGGAACAACAATTCTTCCGTTGAGTACAATAAAACCTTTGAAGACGCACATATCTTGGGGATAGAAAGGGGCACGCGAGGTTCTGGTATGGGAAGCTTCACGCCGATGTCTCAAACACCCATGATGTCTTCTTTGGGTTTGTCTTACGATTCCAGTGGTGCCCTCCCGATACCAGGCGAGGGTGCGAAAAACATCCCTCGCGTTGCGTACAAAACATTTGAGGGGTCTATTGGGCAAGGCTTTTTGGGAAGCCCATGTGGATTTACCGTCTCTCCCGCTACACCCATGCAAGGGGCCGGCAATTTCTCACTCTCATTTACTACTCCGTCGCCTTGCCAGATGCCTCTAAATTCTCCCCAGGAGACTGTTCTTGCTGCATGCGGTGGAGTTATTACGAGAAATAAAGGTGCTGACAGGCATTCCGGTCATATGGACAAACTTCTCCGCGTTTACCGCCATAATCCCTACAAACCGATCAACTAGTTACGCGATTTTGATGGGGATTTAGGCCGTGGTGAAATGAGAATGGGTAGAGTTTGGAAGTTATGTGCGATCCTGGGGGAGGGAATGCTTTATGCCGGGAGGTGAACGCAGAGAAAGGTAAACAGTGGCAGGGGGCGTAAACTGCATTGGATTTATGACAGAAGGGCAGTGTGATTGAAGGGTAAAGCAAATAAATTGGGAGATGAAAACGCACAAAAAAAGGAGCGGTATAAATAAAAAGAAATCTAAACAAAAAAAACAAACAAAAAAAAAAAAAAAAAAAGATAGATAGAGAGAATGAGGGGCAATAATGAAAAAAAAAAAAAAAAAAAAAAAATGGAGTGAAATTAAAAATGGGAAACATAATTTTTATTTGTTTATTTTTCGTGTATTTTTTGTCTTATTTTTAAGGGATGCGTAGGAAAGGAACGTCATGGATGCACGTCCTGGAGGGAGGGGCACGTGCTTTCCGTGAAGCCGTGGAGCATTTTTAGGGGCATTTGTTTTTTTCTTTTTGTTTGTGTGTATTTATGTGTATGGGTGATGTGTTTCTTTATTTTTATTTTTATTTTTGAAGTGGGGGGAGGATTCCCAACTCCGTTTTTTTTGGTTGCCCACGACTGGACCTTTTCTGGCGCGCCAACTCCTGCAGGTTCCTGTGGAAAGCACGGTCCATTTTTTCTTTTTTTTTTTCTTTTTTTTTTTTTTTTTTTTTTTGATGCCCTTTTTTTCTTCTTTTTGTAAATTGCCACTTGGTGTTGTCCGCTTTTTTTTTTTTTGTTGTTTTCTTTAGTCTTATCATTATTTACCCGCCCCTGCGTGTTATTTATTTATTTATTTTTTGTTTTTGTTTTTGTACGCATCTGTTTTATGTTGTGTATCTGTGCGTCATGCCAGACTCTTCGTCCTTCTTAACGTTGATTTGGTTTATTTCATTGGTGGTGGTGGCTGTGGGTTCGGTCTGTTTATTTTATTTATTTGTGTGGTGACTGCAATGACCGCTTGTTGTGGTGGTGGTGGGAATAAATTCCACGTTCGATGGCGCCACGAACGTTTCCTTCCTTTTTTCTCCCTTTCCGTGCAGTGTTGTTTGTGGGCGTTAAGTGAATCGGTGCTGTTGGACGCGGTGTTGTCGTGCTGCCGTCTGTTGCCTTTTTGCTTCATGGGCCTGCTGCTTTTTATTTATTTAATTTAATTTAATTGACTTCTTGCCGGGAAGGAAACAAATTATGGGAGAAGCTGGAGGTGATTTAAGGGTGGAGAAAACTCTTTTTTTTTTTTTTTTTTTTCTCTTTTTTGGAGGAAATTCTGAGAGCCGCAAGGCGGGGATGGTGCAAGCGACACCCGGGGAAAAGAATAAGTGCGCCTCCCCACTTAAAATAAAACATCAAAAGCAACAAAAATAATAAAACGAACTTGAAAACACGTTGTAACGTGACAGTGTGCGCTCTTTCTTTTTTTTTTTTTTTCCCACACTTTCACTATTGTTCACTACTTGTGGATAGCTGTGGGCTCGTCTCTAATTGTTTCTGGTCTTTCTTTTTTTGTTTTTTCGTGTCCGGGCCTATCTTTCGGTTCCGGCCTTCATGATGTGACTACCCCGTTTCATTGTTGTTTCTACACTAACGGCGTTGAGAGATCTTTTTTTTTTTTTTTTTTTTGCATATGTTAATGCTTGTCTGTCTCTCTGTGTGTCTCTCTGTGTGTGTGTCAAAAATTTGCCCCCTCGCCTTCCCCCATTCTTTTTTTTTTCTTTTTTTTGTGACTTCACCATCCCCAGTTTGCTTTTTTGGTTTGTTTCTTGGTGGAGATGGGGAATGGTAGTGGAGCTCTTTTCCGTGCATTCCTGCGTGCACAAGCGGTGGGATCGTATGTCATCTTTTTTTTTTTTTTTTGTCTGCATGAACGCAGAGTACGTCCCAAAACCGGGGTGCGTTTCCGCTCTCTCTCTCATATTGGAGGTGCGCCCACTGGCACTATTTCTTTAACATTACACATTTAATTTCATTCCCACCTTCTGATAAATTCTATATATATATATATATGTATGGAATTTATGTGCATGTATGTGTGTATGTATGTATATATGTATGTGTATGTGTGTGTTTGTTACATTTATTTATTTATTTACATGACAACAGGAGTGTGTCTGGACGAACGTACAAATTTTTTTTTTTTTTTTTTTTTTTGGAACGGACGTATTTTTATTACTTTCTCTTGCCTTTTATAACCTCTTTTTTATTTTATTTTTAACCATTGGGAGGAATGTGAGACCAGACGAGACCAAATACATACATGCATATATATAAATATATGTATATATATGTGTGGGTGTATGCGTTGTTGAAACCCCGTGTTTTTTTTTTTTGTTACATCTGATTTGACGTGGTTGCCAAAGGCACCGTGTTAAAGGGCAACAGCGATGGTACCGTCTTTTTTCACTCCACCCATTCCCGACTATTGCCATCCACGCGGAGGGATCTGGCGGTTTCGGGAGAATAAAGAGACGGCAACTTTGTAACTTCTCAACGAGTCCTGCAATCATGGATTGACTTGTAAACCCATTGGGCTACTGCAGTGCGTAAGCGTAGCTGTTGGACGAGTCTCATCCGAATCGGGTTGTCAGGCGCACTGAAACGAATTGTCACCTCCCTCTATTGTGTTGCCTCACTTTGTAAAAGGAAAGGGGGGCGAGGCCTTGTCCAGACGCACATTTTATTTATGATTCTTATTTGGTGCTTTGTGTGTGTTTGTGGGGAGAGTTGACTGTTTTTTTTTGTGTCGGTTTGATTTGCCTCATTGTCGTTATTGGTGCGCCTGAGGCCTGCTTATTTTTGGCGTGTCCGCCTCCTTTCTATGGGAGTGCGTGTATGATCCACATAGCTTTGGCTGAATTTCAGAGCGAGATTTGAAACAGCATCATAAAAAGAACAAAACAACAGTAAAAGCGAGAAAGAGAGGAGGTCGCTGAGGGTGCCGGGGGGAGGAGATGGGAGTTAACTCTTGTCTATTGCTCATATTTGCAGCCACAGAAAATATTTATGGATCGATGGTACGTGTGTGAGACTGCCGACGGAAGGGCACGCCGCTGCACGGGCATGACATTGCGAAAAGAGCCACTTCCCCTCCCCTAATTCCCTCCAGCAACGTAAAAAACGGTTTTATTTTTGTTTTTTTTTTACCGTGGCAGAGAGAAGGAAATACTCTGCGCAACGGGGATTAGTCATTCTTCTCCCGCCCTTTTTTTTTTTTTCTTGTTTACGTGATTGCCACGGAGGCAATACGAAAGGGGCGATGTCGGCTTTGGCTGTGCCGTTTTTTTTGCTCTCATTTCTGCTGTTGTCGCCGTGGCGAGGGGGCGCGGAGAAGAGTATTTTGGTGCATGGATTTATTTTATTTTCTTTTTGGCTTGTGTTGTTGCATGCGGTAACGGAAAGAAGGAAAGACGTTTTGTATTGGAGTTGATATTACCGTTTTTTTTTTTTTTTTTTTAATTTTATTTTTTTTTTTTTTTGTTTTTTTGTGTTGGCGATGACTTTTGTTCGTGTGGATAATTTCTACTTTTTTTTTTTTTGTTTGACGGATTTGTTTGGGTGCCCGCATGCGCGTCGCTGCGTGAGCGGGCGTGTGTGCATCTCCGCCTGCTGGATGGATGGGGACATGTCTTTTGTTTGAATCCCCGTGCGGGTGCTGTCAGTGTGCCCTTTTTTTTTCTTTTTTCTTTTGGTCTTATTTGTTTTAGTGCGTGCAGTGGGAAGGCGAAAGGGGGAGCAGAATCCGAAGGGAAAAGAGAAGAAAAAAGAAGTAATTAATTTACAAACAAAAAAACAACAAAAAAAAAAAAAAAGGAAACGAAAAGGAAAAGGAAAAAAAAGAGGGATCACACGAAAGAAGGGGGAGAAGTAGTCTGAAAGAGTGCCTGCGTGAGCAAAAAACAAAAACAAAACACACAAAAAAAGGCCCACCAACACCCGCACATACACACGCGCATTTTCAATAAAGAAACGAGGGAGGTGGCAGGGGAGGGATCGGCTCTGCCGTCTCGAGAAGAAAGCAGCGGGAACAGGAAAAAAGCGCGAAACACAAGTAGCACCGTGTGGGTGTGGATTGCCGCCAAAGTAGCAGCCGCACGAGAGTGCGTGCGCGTGAGAGAGAAAGAGAAAGCGAGAGAGAGAGAGAAAAAGGAAGAGAGGGATAGTAAAAAATGAATTTGGATGAAGTGGACATCCCCGAGTTTTCACTGCGGGCCATTGACGAAATATGGGATCAGTGGAACCAGAGCAATGACTTGTTCTCCGGTATGAATCTTCCATCCAGTCACAAACAACGTCAAAATGATTCCAAGGCAACGACGGAAGTAAGGGCGGTATATGACGCGGAGTTCAAGTACTTGTACGAGGTGCCATCTCATTTGCTCGTGCACGTTCCTTCTGCACGACTTAACATCACCCGGTTAGTCTTTTGCCGCAACTATCGGTCTTTTGAAGCGGACTCATGCAAAATGGGTAACAACTGCAAGTTTGTGCACGCCGATGTGGACGTCTCGACACTGGAGGCATTCCCAATTCACGTCAACTACATTTGGCGGGATGAGAAGCTGTGCACATACAAACGTCTGCCTCCTGGAGAATTTTTGGAAGTCCTCTCCAGTGACATGTGCACTGTGGAGACATTACCCAGTGAACGTATTCTTTTGACGCGTGGGGCACTTGCACATCAAGATATTGCAGAACCTCTGATTCGATGCAAGCATTATGATGCGAACCAGACGTGTTTTACGGGAGAGCGCTGCAACTTTGTTCACGTCATGTATGTTGATCCAAATTGTCAGGGGTCTTTTAAGCGAGCGCCAAAGGCTATTTTAGAGGCCAGGGGCAATGCAACAAACGCATCGACTAAAATGGCGCACCATAACACCACCACAAACCAAAATAATAGCAGAGGAAACAACAAAAACAATAATAACGGTAACTTCAGCAACCACATGCCGGAAAATCCCCATGATGTTCAGGCGAGCAATTTAAACTGGGCACCCCATGTGAATTTTCCACCATTTGAACAAAGTGGGTTAAATTCGATGGTATTTTTGCAAAACCTTAACAATGGCGCATCTTTTGCTTCTGGATCAGCGATGCCATGTCAAGATGCCGGTATATCGACAGGTGTGCTTGGTATGGGTTGCCTGATGCCCTCCTTGGCCTCAAATGGCCGACAAGCGACTCAACCTTCCTCACTCCATTGCGATAAAACAGAAGGTAGTCTGCAGGAACTTCTAAAAATGCTGCAGGTTTCACAGCACCCCACTAGTTACGGTGCCCTTTCAACAAATGCACAGTCATTGAATGGAACAGCAGGACCGCAACAAATATCTGATGGAAATATCAACGCCGCCAACAACACGGGCTTGACCCAGGAACAGCTTAGTGGCGTTCTTTCTCCAGTTTTTTCGCTTCTCGCACAGCGGGTTTCATCATCGCATACTTTTTCAGTTGGATCTTCGCCGTTGCTTGAGGAGCCAAGTGCGGTTGGAACATTGCTGTTTTTACCTCGTGGTGCTACTGAGGCTGTAGCAATTCAGCCTGTTTACGATGCTTCTTTTTTGGGGGCCATCACAGCTTTGGGGTCGCAGCAGCAACGTTCCGCACAAGCTGTGGTGCAAAAAAGTCCATCGTCAATTTCACAGCCAACCACCACGTCGGGAGGGGGAACATCTCAAAATTTCCCATTCCCTTTTGTTTCTCCTGGAAACGGTAACATGAATTCAGGTGGTCTTGTAACTTTAGGTAGCGGCAGAGGCAGCAACGGCGTAATAGGAGGAGGAGGAGGAGGAGGGAGCGCAAACAATAGCATTAGTACTGCTGGGCCTACGGCGGATTATTACACGAGGGCCTTTGAGCAGTTGCAAGGCGCACTGAACGGGAATTCTGCATGGATGCGTGGCGTGTAGTGTGAACCGTTCTCTGAGTAATAGCAGCCCCAAGAGGAAAAAAAGAAAACGAAAATAATATATATATATATATATATGCTTTCCTTTTGGTTTTGTAATTTTTTTATTTTTTCTGTTTGCCGTTGTGTTTGTGCATTTGCGAGTATTTCAACGTGTTTTTTCTTCTGGAACTAGTGTGTGTGTGTGTGTGTGATAACGTATGCAGCAATTTTTTTTTTTTTTTTTTTTTTGGCTTGTGTCGTCGTGTTCCTTCATTCGCAGCACCTGCAGTGGTGATGAAATGATCCTGACTTTGGTTTTTATTTTTATTTGGTGCTGTTTCTGTTTTTATTTTTATTTTTACTTTGCCGCTTGCTACTCCCTGCTCTAATATTTGGTTTAAGACGTGTGTGCGTGCGTGTAGGGCTCGCACCACACCGTTTTTCCACGGACGCTGCCGAAGTGCTGAGTGCCCGTGCGAGTGAGTGAGTGGGTGGGTGGGAGGGGGGACGAGACATCGAAGAGAAGAGTGGGCCGATGGCTTCCACGGCGTGAATTAAGAAGACCGGACGTAAGCAAACAAACATTTGCCGAGAGAAGGAGGGAAAACCGCAAATTGGTAAGGACGGCGCCTGTTAGTGGGGTAGGGGAAGGGCCGGCAGTCAAAAATTAATGTGTGGAAGGAAGAACGCAAACATTTAGGAGGGAAACCAGGGAAGCGGGTGAAAGGAATAGATGCATCAGCGGAGCGAAGAAAAGGGAAAATTGTTATTATTATCATTGTTGCTTCCATCATCTTTTTTTTTTTTTTTGTTCGTGCACATTTTTATTTTCATTTTTTTTTTTTTTTTTCTTTGATATAGTCAATTTTCGGTCATTTTTTTTGAAACGTCCCCCCTTTTTCTGGTTTGTGTGTTGTTTTTCTTTTTTTTTCTTGAAAAATATGTGTGTGTGTGTGTGTGCCTACATGTGCTTGCATGCACACCCCTCAGCGGGTAACAACGAAAAAAAAAAAAAAAAAAAAGAGGGGCCTTTACACGGCAAATAAATATTCCTGTGAGCACGTCTTATATATATATATATTATATATATATAATATATATATATATGTTTTTTCCGTGTGCTTGTACGAAGGAGCAGGTGGGCGATAGTGTGAATAATGCGTGGGGGCCAGGCGTGGCTCTCCACAGCGAATTATATACATGTATCTTGGTACGCATGAATGTGTGCCCACCTCCTGATGGGCGATGTGAGCTGGCCGATGGAGAGTGAGGGGATGGAGAGAGAGATAGAGAGAGACGGCTGACACGTGTGAAACGACGGGGGCGGGTGATGAGCGGCAAACGGAAAAGAAACCGAAGTGTTTTAAAGGGAATGCAAACAATCATAAAACGTGAGGAACGAAAGGGGTGAAGCGTTATGTATCAATAATATCTACCTGGGGCCACGGTGCTTTGGATAGAAACATGCAGATGGGAGAGGAGGCGGACACCATGTGTGGTCACCGCCTGATTACATGGCTGGCGCCTCGGGGCTGGACCGCATCAGTGCATCGGTGTTTATGAGTGCATGGGAGCGAAACTTGTGAGTGGACAACAAGAAGAAAAAAGAAGTACATTGAAATGAAACGCCGGCCCAAACAACTTCCAATAGGAAAAGGAAAAAAAGGGAATTATAAATTTTTCTTTTCACAAGCAAACGGAATGAAAAAAAAAAAAATAAATAAAATAAAAAAAAAAAATGATAAATCAATGGGCGCATGCGTATATATTACACGTAAATGTTGTATACATTCAACTGCGGCACAACTTTCTTCAATATGAGTATTAAAAAGAAAAGAAGTCTTCCCTTTTTTTTTTTTTTTTTTTTTTTTCTTTTTTTTTACATGCGATTATGTGTTTATATTTCTTTTTTTTTTTTTATCGCAACCCCGGTTGTCTTGTGTAAACCCATTTCGGAGAGCATGCTGCCACCGTTACGGAGCCCTGTGGCGCTGCGTTGGGTGAGAGTCTGCATGAATGAACCGATGGGAAGAAGGAAGGGGACGGGAGGACGAATTATTTAATTCTCTCAGTCTTGACAAAAACAAAAAAACAAAACAAAACAAAAAAAACGTCTTGCACGCAATAAATTTTTTTCTCAAAAGGGAGGGGGTAGAAAACAAAACAAAAAAAGTTACGTGTGGAAGGATGATGGAGGCCCCGTGATGAAAAAAAAAAAAAAAAAAAAGAGTGGGTGCGGAGGAGCCCGTAACGGTGAGCAGAAGGCGTGCAAATGAACTCGAACGGCGATAAAAGAAAGGGTGAAGAGTGAGAGGGAATGATTGGAAGAAGAGGAAATGTGTTTAGTGTGCGTACCGTTGCTTTGTGTGGGGGACTGCCACAATACATATTTATATTTATATATATTTCAGTTGAGGGGCGAAGGAAAAGAAAAAAATAATTAAAATAACGACAATTACGGCGACGGGACGCGGATGTTTTATGAAATGGAGGGTTCCCGCCTGCGAGTCTTAATCCCGCCCACTCACGTTGGCAGCGCGCACCCATCACTTCTTCTTGTTCTATCAGCCCAATGCGAAAACGGCAACCTTCCTGTCGGAATCGCCGGTTTTTTTTTTTTTTTTTTTTTCCTCTTCTTTGTTCTGCTCCCCTTACGGGGCTCTGCAAACACGTATATAAATATATATATATACATTAAATACAAGGCACACATCAAAGCGTCCAAATGCTCTTTTTGATACGTTCCACTGCTTTCCATTACTTTGAATATTTTTTTTTTTGTTTTGCATTGCTGATGAAACGTGCTGGGCGCATGGGTGCTTCGCGGGCCCATAATCCCATTTTATAGGAATGTGTGGGTTGGCTGCAGCGATGGAAAGAAAAACAATGGGCGTCAAAACCATCAACAACAAAATAGCGACCAAAGGGAAAGACATTACGAGCGGGAAAAAAAAAAAGCAAAAACAATTCGAACTTCACAAACGAAACTGAAATAAGAGTATTGGAGGGATTATTTCCATGAAATCTTTCATGCATACTTCTCTCCTGTTTTTTTCATCGTCCCTTTATTTTTCTTTTTACTGTTTTCTAACTTTCGGTCCTTTTTGCTGCCTAAAATTGAACCATATATATATCTATATATCTATATATCTATATATAGATACGTTTTTGACCATATTATTGTTATTATTTCTTGATTATTTATTCCCCAATGTTTTTCTTTGTTTTTGTTTGCCTTCTTTGACTTTTTGTCGTCTTTGAATTTTGTCTTTTTTGTTTGTGCGTTGTTGATGTGTTTGGTTTAAATGCCATCTTTTTTGCTGTTTTTTTCTTCTTTTTTTTTTTTTTTTTTTTTTTGATTTATCGGGCTGCATTCACCCAATGAAGTCAAGAGCGGAAGAGAGGGTTTGCCCCGCCTTCCTCTCAATTCTTCCCACACTCTGGAGGCCCACCGATAATGATGCCGGGGAGTGGCTCTCATTTAGTTGGTTCTCCTGCCTCGCGGGTGGGTGGCGGAGACAATGTTCATGACGTTTCTTTGTCAGTCGGTCGTAAGAGGGATGTGCGGCGTGCACAGGGGCGAAGTCCTGACTATCGCGTCTTTGATGTCGTGGTACCGCCCTCTGCTGCTTCTGCTGCTGCCTCGAGAGGGACTCGGCTGAGTGGTGTTTCGCCGCCACGGGTGCAGGTATCCCGTGAGGATCCAGAGAACAATCCACCTGCCCCCTCTACTGCCACGGGACAGGCGCTGGCATTGACGATCCTCCCAAAGACTCCTGAGGACACCGACTTGTCCGCTGCTCTTGTCGGCACCCGTGATTTACGAAACGGTTTGCTGGATCAGAAGCTGCAACACTTGCAACGTGAGACGAATGCGCTACGAGAAGAACTAAGAGAGACGTCCAGGCGTCTTGCACATGTGACGGTGAAGCTGAACGAACAAAAGGTAGAGTTCAGTGGCTTGACTCATCGGTACGGTGCAACCGTGGAGAAGCTTACGGCCGCTGAATGTAATGTAAAGCGGTTGGAGGAGCACATCGTAAAGGAGCGGGGCCAGCACGGGGTTCTGCGGGAGGAGCGCGACAAACTGAAGGTCTCCTTGAAGGATTTGGAATGGGAGGTGGAAAAATTGCGTCGAGAACTTCAGGAAGAGCGGGAGAGACCAGCGATGGACCCTCGACAGGTACAGCGCATGTTAGAGGACCGCACGCGTTACGTTCCCGCTGCCGAATTTCAGCGACATTGCGAAGAAATGCGTGACAAACAGCATGTTTTTGTAAATCGTTTTGTGGCGTCCCTTGATACACTTTTGGTGCAACATGAGGAAGACGAAACTTCGGTTTTTGTCGCTCGAAGTGCAGTTCTTTCCGCCGCGACGGACTTGGAGGCAAGGGTGGCGTCTGCGGAAACAACGCTTGGTGTACTGTGTGATCAGTTGGCTGTTTTTAACGAAGGAACGGAGCGCGACATGACGGAGATGATTACTGCACTTATTGTGGAGAATAAAGAACTGTGGCAGCATTTGTCGAAGCTGAAGGGTGACCACGACGTGGCCATTGCGCAGCTGAAGGCGATTCGTCGCAAGGGTGAACACGTTCCACATGATCAGTATGAGTACACCCAGAAACAGCTGGCACTAACTGCGGAAAAGCTGTCCACGGCTCAAAAAACTGTACAGGCGCAAATTGACTTGGCAAAAGAGCACGAGGACCAAATGAAGCTGCTGTTGAATACGAATGAATCGCTGCAGGATCAGGTGCGTTGTCTCACGGAGGAACTGGACCAAGTAAAGGAGGAGCTGGAGCGGAAAGGGAAATTGTTGGATGAGAATAAGGCGACAGCCAATGAGGTTTTGCTTCGGGCGGAAGAATTTCAGGAAAAAGCGGAAGATGAGCGGCGTCGTTTGAATAAGACGATAGAGCAGCTTAATGAAAATATTACTTCTAGAGAACAGGAATACGAGCAACACATTCGCAACCTCCGGGAGGAGCGAAATGCGGCGTGTCATGATCTCGAACGTGCACGGCACGAATTGAATGACACCCAACAGCGTGCTGAATCGTTACAAAGAGAGCTTGACACTCGTACACGCTACTTTGAGAACTATAGACAACAGGCAGAAGACCACCAGCAGCAACTAAGCCGCTCCTTGCAAGAAGAGATGACCGCCGCAAGGGAGCTATTAGAACAAGAGTTGAATGTGACACGACAGGAGTTGGAAGATCAGCGGGCGGCCGTGAGGGAGCTGGAACGGGAACGGGACGACGAGCAGGCAGAGCGTCGCGCCGCGCAGGCCGTTGCTGCAGGATTAGAGGCAGAACTGTCACAACAGCGTCGGGAAAATGAGCAGCAGCAGCACCGTTTAGAGGACGTCACGACGCGTGTGCAAAGACTGGAGGCTGAAGCGGATCAGCTGCGACAGACTCGTGATACCGCGGTGGAGGAGACACGTCAGCTTCAACGGGAAGTAGCACGACATCAAGGGCGCACCCAGGAATTGGAACAGCAGATGCAACAGGAGCGTGAGTCGCACACGCAACAGTCGACACAACTCCGACAGGAAATGCGAGAGGCTGAGGAGCGTCGTTCAACGATGCAGGATGATTTAAAGAAGCTACGTTTACGTCTTGTAGAATTGGAACGGGATAAACAGCAGCGTGTCTCGCGTGAGCGCACAGATGCTGAAAAAGAGAGTTTTGTGCGGGAAAATGCCCGACTTCATGAACAGTATCAGGAAGTGCAACAGGAAAACGTGGCCCTGCGTGAAAGCCTGCAGCTGCTGAAGGGGAAGTTGCTCAACCATGAGCAACTCTCCCAGCAGCTGGAAGATGTGCAGGAACGTCTGAAGCAACTTCCAATGCTTCGGCAAGCCGCAGAAGATGCCAAATGTGATGCGATGCGTGCATCACAGGAAACAGAGATGCTGCGCCAAGAAAGAGATGCAATGGCGGCCAAATTGGACTTTTTTCTGGAGGAGAGTAAGCAGGCTGCGAAAAAAGACGAAGAATGGGCTCGTATTTTTCGTGATGCCGCCGAACAAACTCGTCGTCTCAGTGGCCAGGTCTCTGTGGTGAAAAAACAACAACAGTCGCATCGTAGTCCATCGATTTTTGTTAGCGCCCATCCAAGCGGATACAGTGAACAATACAGCAACTATCAACGGGTTCTGGGAAATGGCGGTAGCAGCACGCAACGCAAACAGTCGCCGCCTTTGCGTTCCGCTGCAGATGCATCGCCACAGCCCCTTGCACCTCCTATCTCCCGGCCGTGGCACTGAGCTTGCACGAGTCCTGCTGCTGTTGTTGTCGCTTTTGTTGCTTCATCCTGTATCCACAATGGTTTGGCGGATTTTGACAGAACTTTCATTTGCTTGTATCATTGTGTAAAATGCATGGCGTTGGTGTCGTGCCGTTTTTACGGGGGGAAACAGAAGAAGGGGCAGAATTGGGAGGCGATACGCCAATCTACAGGGACCGGTTTTTAGTTTTGCATGTCTCTTTCAACTGGCGTGCCGATCTTCGAGCGAATCATGGACGGTTGGAGTAGAGGCATCACCTCCAAATGTGTTTCCCTCTTATGTTTTTCTACTTGACGGTCTTGTTTTCGCATCCGGCGTTTATTCTTTTTGGTTTAGATGTTTTTTTTTTTCTTTATTTATTTTGTTTTTTTTTGTTGTTATTGACGCTAAGAAGGGCAGTTGTTGCGGCTACGCCGCTCTTTGCTCTAACCACTTGGCTGAATATTTTGAAAGTTCTCCCTGTCGTCTTTCTTCTTGATACTTTTTTTTTTTTTTGCTGTTGTTGTTGTTGCTTTTTGCTTGGCGCTCATTTTTTTATTTTTATTTTTATTTTTGTTGTTATCGCTCTTGGACCACACTCGTGTGTGCACAACGATGCCGCAATGCAATGAACGGGAAAAAGAGCAACCAGAACAAGCAAGCAAACAAACACACGAGATTCCTTACAAAAGAGTTAACCAGTTGACTGAATAATAGAGGGAGAAAAAAAAAAAAAAAACAACAACTTATTATCATGTCTGTTTTTGGTGTGGACTTCGGTAATCTTAATTCCACCGTCGCAATTACGCGCCATGGAGGTGTTGACATCGTGACCAATGAAGTGAGTAGGCGAGAAACGACTACTATTGTGTCTTTCCTGGATAATGAGCGTTTTATTGGTGAACAAGGTCTTGACCGCTACGTACGTAACGCACAAAACACGGTTTTTCTGCTTAAGCGCTTTATTGGCATGTACATGGATGACCCCTTTCTTGAAGCAGAGCGTCGATTCCTTACGTGTCAGATTGAAGGCGATAAGGATGGCCGACTTATGTTTGGTGTTAACTACTGCGGCAACATGAATTACTTTTACCCGGAGCAGGTTTTGGCTATGCTTCTTCAGAGACTCCGTCTATATGTGAATGCTGCCGCTGCTTCGGACTCAAAGCACTCTGTTGACGTTCGTGATTGCGTATTGACTGTCCCTTGTTACTATACATCAGAACAACGTCGTCTCATGCTGCAGGCATGCGAAATTGCAGGGCTGAATTGCTTGTCTCTCGTCAATGACACCACCGCAGCAGGCATTGACTACGGCATTTTCCGAGGCTCTTCACTGGCTGAGACGGAGGCGGAGGGACAGGTGGTTGGTATTCTTGACATTGGATACGGTACCACCATCTTTGCCGTCGCGAAGTTCTGGCGTGGTCACCTCAAAGTTCTTGGTCGTACGTTTGACCGCCACCTTGGAACCCGTGATCTTGACTACGAGCTTCTTAAATACATGGCGGCTGCGGTGAAGGAAAAGTACAATGTGGATGTTACCACCAACAAACGAGCGAATCTTCGTCTTCTGCAGGCCTGCGAGCGACTTAAGTATCTTCTTTCCGGAAATCAAATGGCGCCATTAAATGTGGAAAATATTATGGATATTGACATCAATATTCCCTCCTTCCAGCGGAGCACATTTGAGGAGCTTGCGGCACCATTGTTGGAACGTTTTAAGGAAATTGTCCGGCGAGGCTTTGAAGAATCCGGCGTACCGCCAGAAAAGTTCCACAGTATCGAGATGATTGGGGGAGGTTGTCGTATTCCGATGTTCAAGCGAGCGACAGAGGAGCTCTTGGGACGTCCACCCAGCTTTACACTTAATGCATCGGAAACAGCGGCACGTGGTGCGGCCATCACAGCAGCTATTTTTTCGCCAAAGTTCAAAGTACGTGAGTTTGTCGTGAGTGATGTTCCAACGTACCCGATTAAACTCGGCTACTACTTGGAGAACGCAATGAGCACAAGTGCTGTGCCATTTTTGCCAGATGTCAACAAAGTGGTGACGGTGCTCGGCGAGAAGGATCACTTTCCCAAATTGTTGGAGATTACCATCAAGAGTCCAGGCGGCTCTAAGATATATGCCTTCTACGATAATGAGCATCCGCTTGTAAAGATGCATCTGCCTTTGGAAAAATTCATCATCGGTGAGTGGGAGATTGGGAAGCCACCAAAGGGTTCGGCTGCTACGGAGGTGCGCGTACGTGTGCGTCTGCATGCCAGCGGTCTTCTTCATGTCGACTCTGCGTTTTCTGTGGAGACGTATGAGGTGGAAGAACCTGCAACGGAAGAAAGTGAAAAGAAGGATACTGCCGCTTCGAACAAAAGCGCGGAGTCGAAGATTACCGACAATGAGGAGGAAACAAGCGAGAAAAAGACATCCGAAAAAAAAATGGTAAAGAAGCAGAAACAGCGGCGTGTGGAGCTTACAGTTACACCGCGCCTTGACGTGATTGGTCTTCCTGGTGACATGGTGCTGCTATTTCAGAAACAGGAGGTTGAGATGAACGAACGGGACTTATTGCTCATCAATACGCGGGATAAAAAGAACGAATTGGAGAGCTACATCCTCGACAACCGCCCACGCATTGCCGATGGTGGCATACTCGCAGAGTATGTGACGAAGGAACAACAGGCGAATTTCATTCAACTCAGCAACGAGTATGAAAATTGGCTCTATGAAGACGGTGCCGACGCAGAACTCAGCGCCTACGAGGAACGTGTCAAGATACTCCGCGAGATTGGTGACGCTGCGAACGCGCGACGATTGAACTTTGAGGACATTACTTTTGCGCTGGAAGCCTTTAAGACTGAAGTGTGTAATGCACGGGAGTTGGCGCTGCAAACCATTGGAAAGATGGAGCACATTACAGAGGAGGAGCTTCGCGCTGCGGCGAAGAAGTGTGAAGAGGCTTTGGAGTGGGCCGAGCGGGAGGTAAAGAAGTACCAGCAAGCTCCAAAGACAGCAGCACCCACCATCACACGCAAAGACCTGCAGGAAAAACAGGTGAACGTCACAGGAAGCGTGAACGCCGTTGTGAAGCGTCCTGCACCGCCGAAGCCAAAGGAGACGAAGCCCACTGAAGCCAAGAATGCCCCGGAGAGCGGAAACGAAGAGGAGGGGGCGAACACACAGCCGCCGGGAACTCAGGAGTCTTGGGTCGAGAATGAAGAAGCAGCAAAGGGTGATGACGCCCTTGACTGAGTGGGTTACGAAGCGATTCTCCATGCGTGGGTTGAGGTCGCGGGGCGAGGGAAAAATGAATGAATGAAAATAAGTGGCAGAAGAGGGAAGCTGAGAAAAAAAGTGAAATCAACGAAAGCCAAAAAGAAATTGAACGTGTGTGTGTGCGTGCAGAATGACAGATTGAAAGCAATGACCGAAATTTGCACACAAATACACATAGAGACCTTTACGTGATGATGATTATGATTATTTTATTATTATTATTATTATTATTATTATTATTATTATTATTATTATTATTATTATTATTATTATTTATTATTATTATTATTATTTATTATTATTATTATTATTTATTATTATTATTATTTTTCTTGGTCAAATGTTGATTTAAAGACGAATAAAAAGGAAGAGAAAGAGAGAAAAAGGCTTGCAAAGGAAATGAAAGTATGCGGAACGGCGCAGATGAAAAGAAATAAAATACAGGCCTGTTTCATCTTTTTTTTTTTCTTTTTCTTTTTGTTCTGAATGAATGGATGTTGTGGAATTTCTTTGAGTGGGTGCCACCAGTTGGCGGGTGCGTGAACACCGTTGGTCGTGGCGTTTTATTTTGTGTTGTTTTTTTTTCTGCCTTTTTTTCCTGCGTTTTCTCATGTGTGAATGATGCATAGGTAAACACATATGTTTTAATCAAGAGGAATAGGTCTTAAAGAGGATGCAGGCTTGGAAACCGACGGACACAAATATGTTTCTCGTGAAGAGGACAGGGGTTGACACTCGGCGGAGGCGCATGCACTCTCGCTGCTCATGGAGACTTACGCGCATTTAATAAGAAATACGCACGTATGCATGTGTTTATTTAAATTCCCACTTTTGTTTTCTGTGTGTTTAAAATTTACTACTGCTTGATCTCTTTTTCGCGCTTTTTATTGTTTTTGTCCGTTTGTTTTGCCGCAGAGTGGAAACGCTGGGCATATTCAAGAGCATAGTAACTGCCGCTGGTGCTGCACGTACGCAAGAGGAAAAGAGGGAATAACAGGGTAAAAAGAGAAACCGAAGCCTCAGCAACAACAACAAGAGGAAAAGTAAGCAACATAAGCCGCGCATTAACGGAAGACCAAAGGAAAAAAAAAAAAAAGAAGAAAATAATAATAAGAGAGAGACATTTATACACGTCTGGGAAGCCGGTAAATATAATTGAGGCCAACATGTTTAGGTCTGCAAGCTGTATTCTATTGGCCGCCAAGACCATACCCATCAATCCACAGAAGCCGTTTAAGTTGCACACTGCCGGCCGTGATGATGTTCCTCCTGTTCCTACCACCGCTACATATGACACGGAACAAATGAAGAAGTGCCTCGAAATGATGTTTCGAATTCGTCGCATGGAATCGCTTTGTGACCAGTCTTACAAACTTAAGAAAATTCGTGGCTTCTGCCATCTTTACATTGGCCAGGAAGCCATTCCTGTTGGTATGGAGAATGTTTTAACATTGGAAGATCTCATTGTCACGGCATATCGTGACCATGCGTGGTATATCGTTCGCGGTGGTACACCAGGGGAGGTGTTTGCCGAGATGTTTGGTAAAGAAGGTGGCTGTTCGAAGGGGAAGGGTGGAAGCATGCATATGTACTCTGTGAAAAACAATTTTTTTGGCGGTAACGGAATTGTGGGTGCGCAAGTGCCAATTGGCGCCGGCCTTGGATGGCGGTTTGCCCTTGAGAACCGTGATAAACCGCGCAATGTGGCGGTTACCTTCTATGGTGATGGCGCCGCAAATCAGGGGCAAGTGTTTGAAGCTATGAATATTGCTGCAATTCATCGCATTCCTGTCATATTCTGCTGTGAAAATAACCAATTTGGTATGGGCACGAGCAAAGAACGTGCGGCGTACCAGCCTGAGATGTACCGTCGTGGCGACTACATTCCGGGCCTTCAGGTGGATGGCATGGATGTACTTGCTGTGCAGGAGGGAACTCGATGGGCCAAAGAATGGTGTCTCTCTGGCAAAGGACCCATTGTGCTTGAGTTTGACTCATATCGTTACGTCGGTCATTCTATGAGTGACCCTGACAGCCAATATCGCAAAAAGAGCGACATCCAGGATGTGCGCAAAACTCGTGACTGCATTCACAAGATGAAGGATTTTATGCTTGAAGAAGGAATCATGACGGATGAAGAGATGAAGAAACTCGAGAAGGATGTTAAGAAAGAAGTTGATCAGCAGCTGCAGCCAGCGGAGAAGCAGAAACCTACACCTCGAAGCGAGCTCTTTACTGATATTTACGTTGGGGAGCAGTACGAGCATCGCACGACCCAAGGCACGGTGTATGCCAAGCCCTGAAGGTGCTTCTTAGGGGAGTAGCAGTGGGAGCGGCCCTTAGTGGCTGAAGAAGAAATCAACCAACACGCGAAAGAGAAAATAAACAAGGCAAGGGGTAGATGATGTATGAGACAAGTGGTCCGTACGTTTTATTTTATATATTTTACTTTGGCTTATTTTCGTTCCTATTACTTTTTTTGCTGTGATTGATACGGGGCAATTGTATCAAAGATGCCGCGCAAATCCACGCCATCAGCCGGCATGGAAAGAGACCTCTCTGAACTGGCAAAAGATGAAATGTCTCCGAGGAGGCTACGACGGGGGTGGGTGAATCAAGAAGGGCGTAATGATGTGAATGGGAGCGTGAGGAAAAGCACACACACACACACACACACAACAAAAAAAAAAAAAAGAAGAGGGAGGGGGTGGTGTGAAGCATTTTATTGTTTTCTCTGCGTTTACCGACTGCCGCCTCTTTTTGGCTCCGTCGCCCATAATCCCTCCGTCCCTCACCTCCAAAATCGCAGGGCAAATTCGATTCTGGAGTCCAAGAAAGGGGATCTTTTCACGACTGAGAAAGAAAAAAAGGAAGGGAATAATAAATGGGTAATGAATGGAGGACGCAGAGGGAAATGAAAACGGAGATAAAAAAAAAAAAAAAAAGAGATTCTTAAACGGCACGGGAGGGAAGTGACAAGAAAAAGGTGAAGATCTACAACGGTAAAAAATGAAGGGCCACATTTTTATTCTGTATCAATTTTACCTCTTACTCCGATGTGCCTGTTTTATTGTGCTTCTTCTTTTTCTTTTTTTCTCTATTGTTCTCATTCATATGTGTGGTAAAGGTGTTGCATCTCTCTCTCTCTTTTTTTTTTTTTTCCTGTTTCTCTCTCTCTCTTTCTTTTCAGGGGAGAAAAGACTTTATGGCACATTGAGTTCAAAGAAAAGCAAACATAAATAAATAAATATATACATACAAGGATACAGAGCTTTTTTCTTTTTTTTTTTTTTTTTTTTTGGCCCAATTGGCGGAAATGAGAAGACAGCGTGTATTCACAGGCCCATTTTTTGTCCAACATACCTCCAATTGTCTTTTTGCTTATCCGTTTATTGCTGAATTTCTGGCCCGTCGGTTTCAGCGTTCCCCACCGGGCCGGTTGCGATTGCCCAAGGAGCAAACGACAAATAATTCGTACACCTCCGGTTCGTCAGGATCTTCTTCGTCGCTGCAGCGTAAGTATGATGTTGGGGTGTTTGAGAATACGTCTGGGATGCCCATCGGCGAGGTGGAGGAAGGCCGCCGTGGGTTTCTTGGATTTGGACGTCGTGCCGGTCGCACCATGCCGGTAAATCCTCTTTCCGTTTTACGTTCACGGGAAACGGACTCGAAAGAGGACCGAAGTACAAGTCTTTTTCTTCAGGCTGTTCGGATGCTGAGCGGAAAGCGTCGTAGCCGTGATGTACGTCTGACACTTCAACTTACACCTGAGCAGCAGCAAGACATTGTTAACCGCTATGCCAGGACGCGGTGGTACAGTTTTATTTGGTATCCTTTCCGCAATGTGACAGAGCGCCAATTTAAATGGTGGCGTCGATTTGCCCATTTTACACTTCTTATCGTTGCTTTGTTCGGTCTGGCTGTTGCGTTGGCGCTGTATTACCGTGAGGTGGAGACTGTTCTGCGACTGAGTCCTGAGGATCGCCGTGACTATCAAAAGATGGTCACTGGTATGCGCTATAGTGAAATTTACCGTCTTTCCATGGAGGTTTTTCAGAAGGAAGACCCTCTTGAGGCGCTGCCAGCGCCGGCGCGGTATCACCTTCTTATTGAGGCGGCGCGGAAAAAGGGTTGGCATCGGGTTGACTGGGAGCTTGAGTCCCGTACCCGCTACCCACGCTCATCACTCGAGGAAATGGACTTTATTCACCTTTTCTACTGGTCAATAATGTACATTGGCTCCCTAGTCACGGGAGGCGGGGAGTTGTTTTCAGATCGATTTGGTGACCTCATGGAAGTGCAGGAGACGCATCGACGTCGTGAAATGGAGGCAAACTTTGTGGAGCACGGACCAGAGCCGCCAGCAATATGCATCGGCGAAAAAGAAGGAGGAAAGTCCGCATAGTGTGTCGGTGTAAGAGATGCCTACCCTCCGTTTCCCCATTGACATGTGTTTCTGGCTTATCGGTATGAGTGTGCAATGAAAGGGTGGAGGGACCGTAAGAAATAATAATAATAATAATAATAACAATAATAATAATAATAAAATAGTTTGTGCCTTTTGGATTTCTTTTTGCTTTTGGCGGACACCACACGAGTATGCGTTTACGACCATCTTATATATATATATATATATATCTGTCTTCCATCAATTTTTCTATGTAAAAGGAGCTGAAGGTTACACACACACTCAAACGCCCAGGAAAAAGAGATGGCTTGCCCACGTGTGCAGTACCGTCGCCGCATGCACTACGCGACGCGTGGGAACCGCATGAAGCTCGTGCGTACTCCCGGCAACCGCCTTGTCATGCAGAAGCGCGTCAAGCGCTCGCAGGGGCCGCACACGCCGTGGGTGTTGGGCCACAAGCGCCTCGCTGGCACGAAGGCACTGCGCCACACGGAGGCCCGTCTTGCTTCGCGCCATGAGAAGAGCACCTCTCGCCCGTACGGCGGCGTGCTTAGTCACGAGCAGGTGCGTGACCGCATTGTGCGCGCGTTCCTCATCGAGGAGCAGCGTATTGTGAAGCGTGCACTCAAGGCCCACGCCAAGTCGCAGAAGGAGAAGAAGCGCCGCGACTCCAAGAAGAAGCGCAAGGAGGAGAAGAAGGCGGCCCTCACAAAGAAGATTGCGGCGAAGGTTGGCGCAAGGTCCGCGCTCACGAAGAAGACCACTGCCAAAAAGAAGGCGGCGTCCCGAGTTCCAGTCGGCGCGAAGGTCAAGAAGTAATTCAGGGGGCTACTCGTTTTCCTTTCACTCGTGGGTGCTTCAATCGTTGGCTCTTCTACAGCTCTTTTTTTATTTTTGTTGATTTTCTTACAAAACAAAAACAAAAACAAAAACTAAATACACACAAAAAAGCAGACCCTTTTTTTTTTTGTGTGTATTTTTTTTGGACCTCAAATTTTTGCCTTTATGTGTTTTTTTACTTTTTATTTTTTTAGTTTTTGTGAGTGCAATGAACATGAACTTTGTTCTTTTTTGTTATTTTCTTTTGTGTTTTTTGCAGGACACAGCCAAGTTCGATGGAGATGATCCACCAGTTGTCCCGGCAAGGTTTTTTTTTTGAAGGGAGTCTGGCGAGTGACGAGCGCAGCGCCTCGGAGGAGCGCGAACGCATCGTGCAGAGACTCCCTGCTTCTCTCCAGGCGATGCTCCTGCGGGCCAAGCTCACGCTGACCGACGCTGAGATCCAACGAATGTCCTGCGCGACGGCTGATCAGCGGTGTGAGGCGCTTCGTATGATCTTTGAGGGTAAATCGGCGGATGAGGCAATATTATTTCTGCTTCATGAAAGCTCTCGCAACACGACGCCAGTGTCGTCAGCGGGTCCTGCGAATCCCTCGACAAGGGCAGCAACGATGGAGTTGACGGCTAATTGTCATTCAGTGACACGCCGGTCGAATAGCGACAAAGCGTTGGACCCGTCGTCCTCTTTGCCCTCAACACATTCCTCACATTCCCCCCGTGAAAAGGAGGAGGTGACTGTTCATTTTCCTCCTCCGCCTTCTTTGCGTTGCACCGGCATGACAAATTTCTACAGCGCTGGGGACGATAAAGATGTTAAAGACATTTCTTCACTTCCTGGTGTGTCTTCACTGCACTCTCATCCTCAGCCAGCGTCTGCACAAGTCCTCCGTGAAATCAATGTAAATACTGCCGCTCTTTCAGCACCAATGGATTTGGCGGGGAAAATGATGGGCCAGCCTCACGTAAAATCCAAGAAGAGCCCGAGTCCGGATGTGGTAGAATATTCTCCCCCAGTTTCTGGGGGAATTCCAGCGATGACGGTGAATAAAGCAGCACAAGAGAGTGGCTGGTCAAATGTCTCGCCGGTACCCATGTATCCAACCTCAGCTTGCTCGGCATGGGATGACCATTTCAAGACATTTATTGTGCATCCAAATCAATTAAAGCGACTGGAAGAATTGGAACGACAAATGGCACCCCCTGCCGTTGTACGTCCTCTCAGGGATGGAGCTTTTCGTCGCTTGATGACAGATGAGCATCGGCAATTTTCACGTCAAAACACCAAATCAGTGAAAACGCCACCCACTTCGTCTTCTTTCTCTGGGAATCATCAAAAACACACTGCCGGCTCCGGAAAAGGCGGCGCGCCCTTGACCTCACGAACGCAAAGTACGTGTTACTCGCCTGGCAATGAACATGTTTCTCCGACCCCGTACGTGCCACCACTGCAGATCGTGAGGAAAAAAAAAGGTAAAGAAGATGTATTTACTCGTTTGTATAGTGTGAACTCTTTGCGGGGAACTCCAAGAGTGAGTACAGCACGTGAGAGAACATGTAGTTTATTTTCTCATGGAAGTATTGCAACTGCGCGTGGTGACAAACTTCAGCGCAGTTCATCTGATTACATTGGCCGGACCCCAAGGCGGAGGGGAGAAGTTGTGAATGCTCATCCGACGTGGTGGACAACATGCTGGCGTAGAACTTCTCATGATCAACGCTTTCAGTCCACACCCGTAAGGGTACCTTCTTCAGGAAGGCATGGACGTTTGCTTGCGGAGTCACCTGTGACCCGAAAAAGGCCACCTGCGCCTAATTCTTTTTCTCCTGAAAGTCCTGTTCAACGGCTTCAGCGAACTGCTACCACAATAGACCGTTACTCTCGCCTAGTTGGATCCTCTACATGGAGTGCTAGTTGTGATGCGTACGGCACGTTTTATTCAGAAAATGCCATCCAAGGAAAGCAGCGGGGTGGCTGCAACATGTCTGCTTCCACTTTAGGGAACAGGCTGAAACGCTCTTCAACCGCGACCACGTGGCGTTGAGTTGTGGTTGATACATGCTTGTACATGTTTATCTACGACTATGTGCAAATTGGTGGGATGCAAGAAAATGGAGAAAATAGAAGAGAGACACATTGTCTTTTTCTCTTAGAGGGACACCTTTAAAAGGTATTGGAATGTCATCTTTTTTTTTTTTTTTCTTCTTTACGAGGGATGATAGCTAATTCTTGGTAGAAGTTTCAAATTAGAGAATTGTCCAGGCACAATGTGATGCATAATTGTAATGTTTTAGATCAACCCGGATCGGGAATATACATGTGTTTTTCTTTTTTTCATTTTGGTCGTTTTCATTTATTGGCGATTTACTTTTCTTTTCTTTTTTTGTGTATATGTGCAGGTGTATTTATGCACCCTTTTCCTTTTAGATTTCTTTTTTTTTTTTTTTTGTGTGTGTGTGTGCGTGTGTATTGGGATTCACTACCTTGTGACAGCCGCACACGTGAGTGCTTCCCATATTGTTTCCTTGTAATACATGTAAATAAAAGTATTTAAATAAATAAATATATATTTATTGTGTTTGTGGGATTTTTGTACTTTTTTGAATGAATTTGAATGGTCCACAGACCCGCCACCATTGTGGTGCACGCCCGTCCACACCATGTGGAGATGTGAAAAAGAGCCTCAGCGGCCTGAGAAGAGGTGGTTTGTCGTGAAGAGACATGGAACACACATGTTTCCATGACGCATCCACTCGGGGAGAGCGCGGCGACATATTTATTCATTATCCAAGAGAACCAAAAGTCAGAAAGGGGCATGAATGTACCAAGCCCCTACATAAGTAAGCGAGAAATAGACCGAGCAATAAAATCATGACTGGTGAAAGAAGGGGAGGGGGAACGTGTGGGACTGGGCTGCACGTCATGTGGCGTCGTCTTTTTTTAGATTCTCCCATGTTTGTTTGATGATGGAAGCTGTGAACTCTCCGGTCGTGTCATTACACCCTGTTCTGTTTGCTTGGGGAGGGGGATTGGGGTGTACGTACCGTGTTGACTCTTTTCTTTGCTCCCGCAATTTTTTTTTTTTTTTTTTTTTTTGTTGCTCCTCTTTCTTGTTTCTGCCACAGTAATAAAGCGAGCGGCCTTTTACTGTCACAGACCGACATTGCCGATACGGCGCGCAACGAGGGTTAAAAGCGAATAGGGTGAAACGTAAAAAACAAAAAGAAAAGAAAGAAACACTCGACTTTTGAAAACAACGACGATTAAAAAAGGGAAGATAGTTTGAAGGACAGGGAAGGAAGCGAAGAAGAAAAAAAAACAAAACGTGTGCGTGTGTGTGGTGTCGTTGAAAAAACAAGGAATACGAAAGGGCAAAGGCGGCAAAAGAAAAAGGACGGTAAAAAGAGCCGGAGAAGAAGAATACAAAAGAAAAAAAGATAAAGGCGCATAGCAACAGCCGGGAGGACCGCATCATCAACATTGTTTTCCTTTTTTTTTTTTTTTCTTTTTTTTTTTCGGGAGAAGGGTGTAGGACGTCAAACCGCAGCCAACGAGAGGAGGAGGCAGGAAACGAAGAAAGGAGACGAGAAGGAAAGGCAGCGGAAGTCACACAGCCCTAACAACGAAAAAAAGAACAACAAAAAGAGTTTTTTCTTATATATATATATATATATATACATACATATATATATATATATTTACAGGGGCTCACTGGGTGTGTCGAGGTGAAAAGCGAAGGGAAAGAACGGAAGAGGGAGGCGGAACCGCAACCAAAAAAAGAGAAACATGTCGGAGTGGGACAACATTGCCTCATCGGTCATCAATGACGGGCGTAAAAGTGGCGAAGCGAAGAACTCTCTTGAGGTGGACTGGTTTACGAACAGCCACGACATCTTCAGCGGCGGCAGAGACGCTTTTCTTGTTGATCCGCGTGAAGTAAAACGGGCTGAGACAGCTCCTTCCGTCCTCACGATGTACTCCGCGGATGGAACACTGTGCGTAGGTGGCAGTCTGGAAGAGGAGGTGCCACCTGAGGAGGAGTACCGTTACACGGAGGAGTACCATGTCCTGTACTACTCCAAATACCCCCGCGATCCACGTATGCTTGTGCCGCTTCGCTCGTGCGGTGGGGTGAAACGAGGTGGAGAGACGGGAATGCCGCGTCGTCGTGGCGTCACGGGGACTCAAAAGTCACCTCAAGAGGTTGAGAATGTCACAGACAACCGCGAAACGACAAATGACACTGTCCGGGAGAGCGAGGAAAACATTCAGGATTCTAACGATACGGGGACAGCTTACGCAAAGAGTCTCCTAGAGTCTCTCTCAAAGAAGCAGAAGCAACAACAAGATCAGGGAGATAAACAGAATCAGCGGCAGTTTGACGATGCAACCCAATCCTTTTCGGTTATGGAAGCGGATCAAGCACCTTTGGGCACAGTCATGGAGAGCAGCCTGGCTTTCAAGGCTTCTGCCGGAAGCAGCCTACAAAACCAGATTAACAAGGAAGCAAATTCCAACGGTGCTGTGCAACTGCAGGATGGTTCCACAACACAGTTCTTGAGACGGAGTGCTACGGCATCGCGTCGGACATCTCAGTATGGGAATAGCATTTCTCAAAACGGAGGTTTAAAGAATAACACGCGTCGGCAGGTGGGCGGAAATGAACATGGCTCTATTAGAGTTTCAAGGAATGAGTTTTCATCGATACGAGAGTACCTTGACGAGATACGTTCTGAATGCCCTTACGATGACGTTAAGGCCCATGTCGTTGCTTTGAGCAAAGACCAAGATGGTAGTCGCTTTGTTCAGCGTCTCCTGGAGGATGAACGGAATGTGGAAAGTATCTTTATGGAGGTTCTTCCCAGTACATGTGACTTGATGGTTCACGTCTTTGGAAACTATGTGTTACAGAAGTTGTTGGATGTGATTCCAATGGACAGTGACATGTTCAGGCAACTTTTGGAAAAAGTCTCTGGAAAATTAAAGGAATATTCTTTCCATACGTACGGTTGCCGAGTAGTACAGAAGTTTCTGGAGAAGGCATCATCTGAAATGCGGGAAAATATTCTTCTCGAATTGAAGGATTGTATGGTCGACTGTGTTTTTGACCAAAATGCAAATCATGTGGCACAAAAAATTATAGAAGTTATGCCAGAAAAAACACAATTCATGACAGAGGCTTTTTTGCCTAGTCTGAAGGCCTTGTCACGTCATCCGTATGGGTGCCGTGTACTGCAATGCGTCTTTGAGAAATGCTCTTCTGTTCCTGAAGTAAATATCCGTCCGCTATTGGAAGCAGTTTTTGAACATGTCCATGAATATGTCATGGATCAGTATGGCAATTATGTTGTACAGCATGCAATGTTAAACGCCCCCGAAGATCTTCGCAAGCGATTTGTGGACCTTTTAATTCCTCATGTATATGCGCTATCGTGTAGCAAGTTTGCTTCAAATGTGGCTGAGAAGACGATTGTAAAGGCAAATGAGGAAGAGATGCAACAAATTGTGGAAATTCTCACATGCCCACTCGGAGGTTCTGAAGATGGAAGTTACCTTGTTCTTATGATGCAAGATCCATATGCAAATTACGTCGTGCAACGTCTTCTTCAAGAAGTGAATAAGCAACAACAACAACACATTGCCGAGCAGACGAGACGGCATCTTGCAAATATACGTCGTTCTGTCTATGGTCAACACCTCGTCCAAAAAATGGAAAACATGGGCATGTTTACGTGGGTAGAAGGTGGAATGTGCAACAATGCACCGTATCGTGAGCAGAATTCCATGGTATTTGGGCCAAATCGGAAAACACGTGGAGTAGTTGGGGGCCGCAATGGTGCACGCGGCGCTTCTGCAGCACAAAGTAACTACGTTACGCCGGTGGAACGACCCCTGGCTGCCAATAATTCATATCGTCAGCCGGCGGCATCTGTTGCAGTTGCCGGAAGAACTATGTTACCCTTGGCGGCAGCGGGGTCGGGCTACAGCTATGGGTATGTAGACTCCGCATCCGAAGCCATGTTGACACCATCTCAGCAGTTGCCGCAACATCAACACCATCTGATGCCTGTTCCTAACGTGACGATTGGAGTCCAACCGTGTTATCCCGGCATGATACCTCCCCCACCGCCGCCACCGCAGACTCAGGCACCAAATCATCAACATCAACAACGTCGGCTGTTTACATTACATGGCCAACGTGACCCTTATAATGTGGTGGACTCCGCTCCGATGCCACAGCATCAACCCCAGATGCCTCAAGCAAACAACGTTTCTGCAACAAACCCAATTTATGCTAATGGAAACGGCCATATAAGTCAAACACAAGGTGATAAATGGGCACACCCCTACCAAACACTCAACCCCCCTGTGCAACAGACGATGTCGTATACTGTCAACGCTTCCAATGCATACCCTGGTATAAATGCTGCATCTGCATTTTAGGAGTGGCGATACGATTTATGTTTATTGCGTTGTCCTCATACTCCAAGCAGCAATAGTAACGAACACACCTGTGGGTCGAATAATGGACATCTTGACATCTCAATTCACGAGATTTCCTCTGCACATTTTGGCGGTGGAAGCCGATGTCTACAGGGAAACCGAAATAAAAAACAAAGGCGAGACAACAACAATAAAACAAAACAAAACAAAAAGCAACAAAAAAAAAAATCAGAGTGGTACTTCTCCCCTTACAAAGAAAAAGCGTCCACACTTCCTTTTTTTTTTTTTTACCTTGGATTTCATCTTTACAGCACGAAAAAGGGTAAATAAAGCTCATAACCAGAGTGTATATAAACAAATTCAGCAAAAGAACTGTGAACAAAAAACAAAAAAAAAAAGAAAAAAGAAAAAAAAAACGACAAAAAGTTGAGCGAATGAATGCCCTTTTACTCTTTCTCCCAATTATTGTGAGGACTTACCTGTAAAATTTTGTAATCGAGAGTGAATATAAGAGACTGCGGAGCTCGCATGGATGATTGAAGCGGGGAAAAGGTTGTCGCGTCTCGAGGCGGGGTTGAGGTGGTGATGGGCTTTTGGCCGCACCTTGTTTGTATCCTGTAAGTTGTCTTTTTTTTTTTTTTTTTGAGGGGAGTGGGGAGTGGGGGAAACAGTTTTTTTAGAGGCTTTGGAGAAAAAAAAAGAAAGTGTGTGTCCAGATTGGGGCTCAGTAGATGATAGAGTCTTTTGTTTCATCGCCCTGCCTCGAGATTGATTATTATCAAAAAAAAAAAAAAAAAAAAAAATAGCATCGCAGTTGCCACCCAACGCGGTATTTTTTTTTGTTGTTGTTGTTTTTCATCCCACCCGCTCCCCGACTGTCACTCTCCGCGCGGAGGAAGGTCCGGCGGTAGCGAGAATTGAAAGACTGCCAGATCGTCAGTTCACAAGGAGCCCGGTCATTATAAAAGGTCTTTTGGGTTGGTTTGCTGGTGTATGAGTGCTCGGGGGATTCTGTTGGAGTTGGCATGTTGGGCGCATTGAACCAAACAACCATCTCCCATTGTCGTCTTTGCACTCGGTAGAAATAGGGGACCAGGCCTCATGGAGGCGCATATTCCTTTTTTTTTTTTTTTTTTTTTTTTCCGCCTTGTCTGTTCTCGTTTCTTGCCTTTGTGTTAGCTGTGGAAACAATACAAAGAGCCAGTGATCTCTGTTTTTAGTACTTGTATCACCTGTTCTTTTTTTTTTCCCACATTTTATGTTTATTGGTTTATTCCGAAATGAAAACACGAAGAAACAGAGAAGGAGGGGTGGAGCACACACGCATTTTTATTTCTTTTTTCTTTTTTTGGTTTATTTTCATCGCCTTTTTTTTTTTTTGTCATTTATTATTTTTGTTATCCCGTGCGAAGGGGATCGACACGCATATATATATATATATATATATATGGATGGGACATGACTGGGGTGCGCATTTGTTTTCTGTGTCCCTTTTTTATTTTTATTTTTATTATTGTTTCTTTTTTTTTGTGTGTGTGTGTTTGTTTGTGTCTGTGTGTGTGTGTGTGTGTTGTTTCTTTAAAATGTTCCATCTGTTTGTCAGCGTCTGTCTACACGTATATATATATGTATATATGTATGTGTAATTGTTATATGGTAAGTGTGCATGTACGTCTATTTAACGGTTTCTTTTTTTATGATGTTGTTTGTTTTGATTTTTTTTTTTGTTGTTGTGACTGCTTATTCGTGGATAAATGCATGTACGTATGTATACAATGTTGTATTATTATTATTATTATTATTATTATTTTTTGTTGTTGTTGCGTTGCGTTGCCGTTGTTCCCCACCCCACCCCACCCCCCTCACTATTACTTCTCCTCCTCACTGTACGTTTGGGGAAAGAGAAGGAGAAAGAGAGAAGGAGAGGCACACACAATGATAAGCAATAATAATAGTAGTAAATGATGATTAAATAAATAAATAAATAATGTGGTGCCCCTCCCCACAACAAAAGAAGAAGGAGGAGGAGAGAAATAATAATAATAATAAAGAGGGAGAGAGAGAGAATGAGTGAGGGTGGAAAATCATGAGAATTCTGTCAGCACGAAGAGACGGAGAGTCAGCGAAAAAAGCAAAAAACAACAACGGCGGAAACGAGAGAAAAGTCTTTTTATTATCTATCTCTCTTTCCCTCACCGTATCTACATGCATCCACATATAGATATCTTTTTGTGGATAAATTTGCCAAATTTCTTTTGGAACACGCGAGGGGGGAGGTGCGAGCGAGATTTATTTTGTCTGCGTGCTTCTTCTTTCAGCCCACTTTTTTTTTTTTTTTTTGTTGTTGTTGTTTTTGTTGATTTTACCTTTTTTTTTTTTTTTTTTTTTTTTCTTCCCCCCCCCCCTCAC